AAATCAAACGTTCTGATCTCCCGAGTCCCCGACTCCTCCCATCTGTCCTTTGTTTGACGGTTTGCAATTTTTAGTATCACCTCCAGGTACCGCACAAGCTTTCCTGGAGGTCCTTCCAGGGACGTCCCTAGAGTTGGCCCTGAATCTCTCCCTCTCCTCACTGCCAGACACAGCCTATCCTCTCTCACAGGACCACCTGATCGTAGTTCTCTTTCTCTGTCTCTCCCACCCCCACCCACACAGCTGCACTCTACTGATTTTTTTCCACCCTGCCTCAAAACTCATCTTCCTAGGATAAAAACTGAGCCTGATCAGCATCCAGGGAACAGAAATTAAAACTACAGCGAGCTATCTGATACATCCATCAGCATGGCTAAAATCAGAGTAATAACCCCCAAACCAAAATGATAACCCCCCAATGAAAATGATAAACCCCAATTCAGGCAAGAATGCTGAGAGACTGGATCACTCCTCCATGTCTGGGGGGGAATGACAAACTAGCCACTCTGGAGAGAAAAAGGGATGAAGTGGACCGCAGAAATAGTTCCATGGGAAGGGTGCTTGCTTTGCATGCTGCAGACCCAGATTCGATTCCCAGCATCACATAGGGTCCCCTGAGCCTTGCTGGGTATGATCTCTGTGTGCAAAGCCAGGAGAAAGCCCTGAGAACCATTGGGTGCATGCCCCTCGCACCCACCAGGAAACAGAGAGAGAGAGAGAGAGAGAGAGAGAGAGAGAATGGAAATTTCTTATGGAATTAAACATTCACTCATCATATGACACAGCTCTTACCCTCCCAGGCATTTATTCAAAGAAGTGAAACCTTATGTTCGGTCACACAAAATCCCAACACGGTTATTCAAAGCAGTTTGATGTGTAACGCCCGTGACCGTTACGTAACTCCTGTTAGACAGCAAGCCAACAGTTCAACTAGGATTGATCTACAACATGGAAAACTAGTCATCATAAAATGAAAAGACTGCTCATACATGCCACAAATGAGCTCAGTCTTAGGAGAGACAAAACTCACAGGGAGGGAGACCAGACTGACGCTTGCCAGAATTCAGGCAGCCAGGGTCAGGCTGCCATAGCATGAGAGGATGTGAAGAGGTTTTCTGTTTGGGTTGTGAGGGTCAACCATGGGGAAAGTTGCATATAATACACGTGAGTATGCACAGATATGAAAACCGTGGGTCTGAATAAGGTGGACGGGCTGGATCCATGGCAATCAAAGCTCTTTTACTTGTTTTGGGCCACACCTGGCGTGCTCAAGGCTTCCTCCTGGCTCTGCGCTCAGTGGTCACTCCTGGCGGGGCTCTGGGGACGTTATGTGGTGCTGAGGATCAAAGCTGTGTCAACTGCAAGCAGGGAAAGTGCCCTACCCACCCTACTATCTCTTCTGCCACAATCAATATGCTTTTGTGTCACTGTATTATTGTACTGTGGTTATACAAATTATGCAAAAATCTTACCAATAGAAGAAAAGATGGATAAAGTGGAGACGGTCTTTTTCTGTACTATTTTTTAACACCTACACATGGAGCTGTGCAGTTAACAGCATAAAAAAAAAATTTTTTTTTTCCTTTTCAAAAAATCAACAAAACCCACAGTTCCACAGTGCCAGGAGTCCAGGTTTCAACACAGGACACACTCTGCTCTCACACCCACCTCACCAGCCAGTGCTTCTCAACCTTCTCCGGACCACGGCCCCCTTCCAAACCTATCTCCTTTCCATGTCCCGCCTTCCGGCCGATTGTCCCCCTAGTCTCATGCTGTGGCCCCCAGCTGAGAACCCCCCTCCTGTCCCCACCCCGCCCGCTGCCAGCTCTAAGATCCAACACTTCCCAAACTGACTGGGTACGGGAAGCAGCATTTTCTCAGCTTAGTTCATTCTCCATGACTGACTCTGTGAGTTGAGAATCCATTGGTCTTGGGACCAGAGATATAGTACAACGGGCAGGGCACTTGTCCTGCAGGTGACCAACATGAGTTCAAGCCCCATCATGCCATGTGGCCCCCCAAGCCCACCAGGAGTGATTCCTGAACACAAAGGTAGGAGTAAGCCCGGAGCACTGTGGGGTGTGCCCCATCCCTCCCCTCTCAAAAGAAAAAAAGACTCCACCGGTGAACATCACTTGACTTCTAAACCAGGAAGGCCACAGAAGTGGCCAGACAATACCCAGGCTAACCACCCTCAATCCCACTCTGCTGTAGTTACCCTACGGCCTCTCCCAGGCCTCAGTGTCAGGATCTCAGAAAGGGCACCGCTAGATGTGTCATTAATCTGCGGGCCAGACACGAGGGCGCAAAGAAGTTACAAAACTGGCACTTGAGGATCTGAGTCTGATTACATTAAATCTGTGTTTCTCCAAAGTTAAGCCTGAAGAGACAAAAGCAGTCTTTAATACAGAGCCAGGACAGAATGCTCCCACGCGGGAGAAAGTGTTGATTCATCAGACAAAGGCTTCCCTACACCAGAGGTAATGAAACTCTAGCACCAGTGGCAAAAGTTCTCAGGCTTTCTCAGACCAGATACAAGAACCCAAACCTCAGTTTTCTCATGAGCTCCAGATGAGTCATCCTCCATGTTCCTTAATGGCTATTCTGCCATTTAGGAGAAAGTATGATGTTTATTCCTCAAAAAAAAAAAAGAATCATTTCCTTCTGTTCAAAAGGTCTAGGAAGGGAGGGCCGGGGAGAAAGCTCAATGTGTGGGCTACAATGTGAGCTGCGCATGTAGGAGCCCCAGTGTTATCCCCTGGTCTCCTGAGTTAGGGGAGCAGCCTCCGAGCCCAAAAACACAGAGAAACGGGGGATTAACGGTCATGCGCTAGCTCAACCTGTCCTGCAAGCAAGAAACCACATGTCTATCCCACATGCCAAGTGTGACCCAACTGTACATCTCTGGACACGGCCAATCCCAGCGAGCACCTAATCAAGAGTGTGTCCTGGTCACTGCATCAACGACAATGGGAAGGGGCAGATGAAGAAAGAAATTTTTTTAAATGTGTATTAGGGTTGGAGTGATAGCACAGCGGTAGGGTGCCTTGCGCGCAGCCATCCCGGTCAAGCCGGCTTCGACTCCTCCGCCTCTCTTGGAGAGCCCAGCAAGCAACCCAGAGTATCTAGCCTGCACGGCAAAGCCTGGCAAGCTGCCCATGATGTATTCGATATGCCAAACACAGTAACAACGTCTCACGATGGAGGCGTTACTGGGCCCGCTTGAGCAAATCGATGAACAGGAGGACAGTGACAGTATTAGGGGTCAGAGATAGTACAGTAGGTAGGGTGTTCACCTTGCACCTGCTGGACCCGAATTTGATCCCCGACATCCTATGTCATCTTCCAAGGCCCGCCAGAAAGCACCTTTGAACGCAGAGCCAGGAGTAAGCCCTGAGCATCACCAGAGTGGCTGCCTCCCTACCCCCACCAAAAAAATAATAAAAAGAATAATAATTAAACAAGTAAATAATTATAACTAAATAAGTAAATTAAGTGAACTATGTATTAGTTCTCCTGGAGGAAATTAAATTATTGGGGGAGGAGGGGAACTCAGTAGTGCCCAGTGATCACTACAGATGGTGCTCAGGGAACTCTTCAGTGCCAGGGAATGAAGCCGAGCTCCTCCTGCATGCAACGTCTGGGCTCTACAGTATCTGCCTGGCCCTCAAGGCTCATTGGCATTCATGGTTTACTTGAAAAACACACCGACTGAGCCGGAGCCATAGTACATGGGGAAGGCATTTCCCTTGCATGTGGCTGACCTGGGTTCGAGCCCTGACGTCCCACAGGATTCCCGAGGTACTGCCAGGAGTGATCCCTGAGTACAGAGCCAGGAGTAAGCCCTGAACACCGCAGGCTTTGCCTTCCCCACCCTCTACCCCCCCAAAAAATACTGATTATACTATGATCGACAACTGTTCCAAGTAGTCTCTGAAATCCATATGACTCTCTCCAAAGGATTTCCATTTCACTTTATTTCTATGGGCTAGTCTAGACCCTGGACTAGAGCCGTTACTGACTGGATTCAACAGAACAGCAAAAGAACACCTGGTCGCCCGTCTACGAGATGGTCGGACTCCTTTGTTAAGACCCTGAATGACCGCTTTGATGCTCTTTGTGTTCCTGGACGAGCAGATGCCACTGGGCTACACTAGCACATGACAGGGGTGGATGGAGACGCTACTGGCGCCCGATCGAGCAACTCGATGAACAAGGGGATGACAAGTGACAAGTGAGTCTGGTAGTGCTCAGGAGCACTTGCCACATGCCAAGTGCATACTCCAGTCCTCAGCCATCTCTCCAGCCAGGATTAATATTTCATTAGGTTATTTGGTTGGGTGGGGGAGGAACCACACCCAGAGGTACTCAGGGTTTACTCCTGGCTCTGTGCTCAGGGATCACTCCGGGTGGGGCTTAAGGGACCAAGTGCATACCCAGAGATGGAACCAGGCTCAGTCATGTACAAGGCAAGTGTCCAAACCCCAGCCCGATCTCACCAGAAAAAAAAAATTTTGTTTGAGTATATGAATGAAGTTTAATGATTCATATACCTTCTGCTGCCTCCCAAATCCCAATTTTCTTAAGCAAAGTCTTTTCAGCAGGCCTCAAAGGAGGGTGTGAGTGGAACAGAATACAAAAGGAAGAAGTAGGGGAGAGGCTGAACACTCAATCCTCTCCGTCAGAAGACAGAAATACAGGAGTGACCTAAGGCTGACGAAGAAACCTTGAAAGTTGTGTAGCACAGGGCCGCAGAGACAGAGCAAGGGTTAAGGCTCTTGCAATGGACGTGGCCAACCCTGACTCAATCCTGGACACAAAAGACGATTCCCTCAGCACCACAGGAGTGAGTCCTGAACACAAAGCCAAGAGTAAGCCCTGAGCACGGCTAGGTGTGCAGGCTCCCCACCATACAACACACAAAAATGATGCAGCACAGGACAAGAAGGCAGGTCTGTCTGTGGAAGCAGGAGAATGGCCTCCAGAAAGGAAATACTGACCGGTAGCGTTCTCTTGTATCTGGAGTCCTGGCCATCTCTGTGCTGCCCGGAAGTGCTGGCTGTGTCTCTGGAGTCTCTGTAACCAGCACTGGGGATGATGTACTCCTTCCCTATGTCAATATCCTTCATCGCCTCTCAGCCGAGTGCCAGGCTGCAGGGCTTGCGGCTTTGCAGGAGAGCTTCTGAAACAAAAGATTCAGCATGAACAGGTGTCTCCTGAATTGTGCTGCGTCCGTCAGACCCAGAAGTGCTCTAAGATAAGATACATACAAGGACTCCTGGTTTCAACGCTGATATCTAACTGTTTTCGAGTGCCATTTGGTTTTTGTAACTTCTGGCTTTGGGGTGGCACTGCAGTTAGAACCCAGATAACTGCAGATAACTGTGGACCCTGCTTCTGTTTCACTGTTTTTAAAGGGGGGTGGGGGAAATTGTCACTATAACAAAATAATTGAATTTTTAAAGGGGGGGAAATTTTCACTATAATAGAATTTCTTTCCAGCCCCAAAGAGAAAAGAAATTGATAAAGGAACACATGTCTTCTTCAGTGACATTCAAACCCAAAATACAGAGCATTGAGATATATTATTTTTAAAAGGCTTTCTAGAAATGATTTAAATTTGTTCCAAGCATAAAAAAAACTCCACAAATCAATTTTAAACTGGAAAAAATATTCCTCTTAACTAAATTTTACTGAACGAAAATTTACAAAACACTCATTCTGCCAATGATCTCTCCTCTCTGCATTTTTATACTTATGGGTTAAAGTTATTTTCAAATTCCATGAAGTTACATAGCTAAAGTGAAAAACAGTGTTTCATCTGAACTTTATCTTGACTCAAAAATAAATTCCCCTTGGGAGAGACTGAAAGTGTACTGAAAGTATCCTAAATTTAAACAGTGAGGAACAGTCGCACAATTCTGTGACTAACCTAACAAAATCATTCAAGTTGGGTCACTGTGAAAGAGAATTTCATGGCTGATTATATCTCAATAAAGCTGCTTAAAAAAAAAAAAGGGAGAGAAGTCCAAGGCTAAAAGGCACTTGCCTTGCACACAGCTGACAGCATTTTATCCCCGCATCACATATGTACCCGAGCACCTCCACATATGATCCCTGAGCACAGAGTCAGGATTAAGTCCTGAGCACTACTGGGTATGGCTCCCAAACCAAAATAAATATATACATAAAATATATAACGAAGATTGAGGATGTGGCATACATAGTCAAACATACAAATTATATGCATGAAGCCCTACATTCAATTACTGATCCCAGGTACCATCTGGCCCTAATTAAAAAATAATAACAAAAGCCCTTTTTTATAAAAAAAAAAAGGGGGGTGCTGTTCAACTGATTGCTAGCTAGCACCACCTAAAACTTTTTCTAATCCTTGGCATGCCTAGCTAACGCTAGCCAGGGCTCGGTACCCACTCTGATCACTTTTGAAGTAAATAAATCACATACACACCTCTCCAACATTTTTTCCACTGACTGAAAGCTTTCAAGACACGAGCCTTTCATACCAGCTTGCCCAGGAATTAAGTAGATGTGTGTTTCTTTTTAGATTCCATAAATCCTTAGTGTGCTCCCTCTCTTAGACTTTGCAGTCAAAATTATAAGAAGTACAATTCATTTTTAGGATATCAGAAAATAAAGAGCTACTATGAATTTTAAAATAAATTGAAACCTACTATTAAAGAAATAAGGGCTGTGTCTCCAGCAGAAAGCAAGCTTGGCTTCTTGCCTGACAGACTCAGTGGATACTGTGAAGCTACTTAAAAAAAAAAAAAAAAAAGAAGTCACCTTGTCCAATGACAAACTGCACCATAAACACGCCTTACAACCTGGAGCACAGGATCTCCGAGACCTCATTAAGCCTCAGCTATAAACAGACCTGGCACCTGGCAGGGTCCCCTAAGCTGGGATACAGCTGCAGATCAGAGTAATAATCCTTCTCCTTCCAGGCCCAGCCCTTCCTCTTGAAGGCCCCCTAGCCCAGAGGATGATTCCCGAGTGGAAAAATTAAAAAATCAGTCTTACTTTGCAAAAAAGTAGCAGCAGAAGAGCCATTTGCAAGGGAGGGGCCAAAGCGACTCGTTGGCGCCACCAAATGCAGAGTGGGAAAGCGTGTCCACAGCCTTCCCTGCCCGAGGAAGCAGGAGAGCCAGGGACTACGTGTGTGCAGGACACAGGGGCACAGTCTGCATCACTTCTAACACTCCTTGGGCTTGCGGGTCTTGGCAAAGAGGCGGATCCTGAGAACACGCCACGGGGCTTGGAGTCGCACAGTTACTTTCTCGTGGGGGCCTTAACATGGGATTATCCCACCTTCAGTGTTGGAGACAAAGCAGCCCACAGTGCAACTACCGGCAGGGAAGTTCAAAAGATTTGAGAGGGAAAGACTGCCCAAGCCTGAAACAACCTTAATCGTCTTAAAACACCCTTAACTGTCTTAAAAACACCTTAATCATCGAAGGAAAAACTGAAGTTTTTAATCTTTTTAAAACATTTTAAAATTAAAATTTTAGTTTGGGGGGGTGGGTGGAGGAGGTACTATTTGCATTTCCCCATTTCCACTGCTTCCCATGAAGTGGGAAACAGAGGTCTTTTCTTCAGCCGCTGACCATCCTCCCCGGGAGAGAGGGAACCGGGAAGGCTCATCGCGTTGGGGCAGATGCGGCAGCAAAGCAACGCACCGAATCTCTTAAGCGGCAGAAATCCAAAGCGTCCAGGCTCCAACCCACCTACAAGGAGAGTGGCCTCTGGGCGAGCGGACTTTTCTTTCTGAGCCAAGACTCGCCCTCGGTGATGGAGTGGAGCGACTCCTCTGCGCTATGCCGCAGGCTAGCGGGGGCTGGGGCTTGCAGAGAATCACAAGAGCCCTAACTTGCCAGACTGGTGTTTCCTAACTGCCTTTTGCAACCTTCTTAGCAGGTTTCCAACACCTGAGGGATCCTATTGCAGCTCCCCACCCCCACCCCCGCCAGCAACCCCGGAAGGAAAAGGACAGTCTGTATCAGCCTCCTGCAACCCACTTGTTGGGCCCCCCATCTTCTGCACCCTGCCTTTCCGCCTGAGACCCAGCAGAACCCTCCTCTTAAACCTCCTGAAACTTGGCCCGTCATTCCGGGGGGCTGGGAGGTGGGGAGCCCTCTGCCTCCTGCCCGCCCTCTGGGTGCAGAAAACCCAAGGAACCGCGGCGTGACATCCACGGGGCAGCAGGCAGGTCTGTGCGCTGGGAACGGAGGAGGGCGCCGGGCCGGGTCCAGAAACCTGGGCTCCCCGCCGGACCCGCCGAGGTCACGCCGAGCCTCCGTTTACCTATTTGCAAAGCCGGGAGCGATGCCTTCTCCGGCTCGCGGGGGGAGCCGCGTCTTCGAGAACACGGCGGGCGCGGGCCACGTCCCGAGCTGTCCCCTCCCGCAACCTTGCGCAGGGAGCGGGAGGTGATCGGCGGCCGACTCCGCCCGTGATGCCCGGGACCTCCAGGGCGTTCCCACGGCCAGCTCGGGGCCTGGAGGCGCGATCAACGACCCGCACCCCGGGGCCCCAGGCGCGCGCGCGCGCAGCACCCCCTGCTGGCCGCGGCCGGGAACGTCGCCGGCCCCCGGGACCGACCGGGCATCCCACCCTCACCTGCGTCCCCTGGCCCGGACCTCGGCCCCGGCGCGGCCCCGGGAGCGCGCGGCGCGAGACCGAGGGGCCAGGCGCCTGGGCTCCTCGGGTCTCCGGCTCCCCTGCCACGGATCGGATCCCGCAGCTCGGCCCGCCACCCCCCGGAGGGTCAAGCCCACGAGGGCCACTGTCACCTGGCCAGCGAGGCCGAGGGAGTAAAGGTGCGGCGGGCGGCCGCCACCTACCTGTGTCGCCGCTCCGGGAGGAGGCAGCGGCAGCCACTCGACCACGCTCCCGAGCATCAGCCCCGGAGCAAAACAAGCCTTTATATCGGCATTGGCCGCCGGACTGCGCAGGCGTCCTGCACAAAGGGCCGCCCGGACGACGGGAATTGTAGTCCCCAGCGCGGGGGCCCGCGGCCCGCGGCTCGCCCCAGGACTCGGTTTCCCAGAAGCAACGTAGAGAGATGCCGGCGGAGGGGCAGCCTCGGTCCCTCTCGGTGTTGCTGCCGAGCCCGTCTGGGGTCTTTCAGCGGCTGCCCCCGCCCCCGTCCCTGCAGCCCCCGGCGTGTGTCCCACTGGGTGGCCCGGAGCGCGGCCGGCAGCGGCGGGTGGTCCCCAGGGCGCGCGCGCGTCCGAGCGCCGGGAAACGCCGTGAAGGTCATCGCGGGTGGCTTCCTGGTCCTGCCTCACGGCCAGCCTTATCTGTTGTGCTCGGTGACATTTCACTCCTGTCCGGGACGCCGCGTTATTCTGCGCTCGTCCTCACTTGGATCTCGCGGGCCGCCACGCTCTGCACAGGACTGACCCCACCCCCCACCCCCACCCCCAGTGCAGTGGAAAGGGTTCCCCCAGAGGTGTTCGGTTCATTTGAACCTTCAGTATGACCCTGACATGACTCCTCTCTGGGGAGTGCCTCCCGACTCGGTCGCTGGCGTTTTTCCGTACAGTTCTTGTTTTTGTTTTTGTTTTGCTTTTGTTTTTGTTGGGGGAGGGGGGCATATCTAGCGGTGCTCAGGGGTTGCTCCTGGCGGTGGTGCATGGGGATATGGGATACCAGACATCTGGCTGCAATGCAAAGCAGTCACCCTACTCGCTGGACTATCTCTCCAGCCACTCTAGTCTCTCTCTCTCTCTTTTTTTTTTCTCATCTCTAACCCTATGTAGGTATTGTTATGACCCATTTCAGAGATTTTTTTTTTAAAGAAGGTAAAGTGACAACCGTTTCACATAGCTAGTGTGCAGAACTGTAAGTGCAATAATTAATCCAGTGTGTTCTTAAGCAGGATGGATTAATAGAAATAGAGTAATAGAGTAGAGTAATGAGTCAAGAAACACACACACACACACACACACACACACACTTTATCAGTAACAGAGAAATACTTACAAGTCAGTGAGAAAAAAATTTTAATAAACAATGCTGGATTTCCATATTCACTTGCTATCCATATAAAGTCAGGGATTATTACTTTGAAAAATCCGTTTCAGGGCTGGAGAGATAGTAAAGGGGTCAAGGTGCTTGCCTTGGGTGCAGCTTCAGAGTTTGATCCCCAG